CGCTGCTTGGAACAAATGGTCCAGAGACGGGATGCATCGCGAGCGACCGTTCAGCCGTGTTCGAAGGGGAGAGAGTTTTGGCCACTCCAGACGCTGGGATGGCACTTTCGATCCACAGCTTTGGTGGCATCTGCGCCTCCTGCGAGATTATAGTATGGAGGTCGGGCCTCCCCTCCAATACGTCTTCACACATATAAAACCATCATAAATGTTAAAATGTAGGAGGTCCGAGCATATTTCTTGGATCTGCGCTGGGATCCCTCCAATTGGCGCGCAAAGCGCGCCAGGGGGGGGGGGGGCTGGAGGCGCACCTTGTCTCAGCTTCTGCCTGCCTCGGCCTCATCCTCAGCCTCAGCCTCAGCCTCAGTCTCAGCCTCAGCCTGTCTCGGCCTGAGCCTGCCTCGGCCTCAGCCTGCCTGCCTCCTCAGCCTGCCTCAGCCTCAGCCTCAGCCTGTCTCAGCCTCAGCCTGCCTAGCATCAGCCTCAGCCTCAGCCTCAGCCTCGGCTTGCCTCGGCCTCAGCCTCAGCCTGCCTCGGCCGCAGCCTCAGCCTCAGCCTGCCTCAGCCTCAGCCTCAGCCTGCCTCAGCCTCAGCCTGCATCAGCCTCAGCCTCAGCCTGCCTCAGCCGCAGCTTGCCTCAGCCTCAGCCACAGCCTCAGCCTCAGCCTCAGCCTCAGCCTCAGCCTGCCTCGGCTTGCCTCAGCCTCGGCCTCAGCCTGCCTCGACCTCAGCCTCAGCCTCAGCCTGCCTCAGCCTCAGCGTCAGCCTCTCAGCCTCAGCCTGCATCAGCCTCAGCCTCAGCCTCAGCCTGCTTCAGCCTCAGTCTCAGCTGCCTCAGCCTCAGCCTGCCTCAGCCTCAGCCTCAGCCTGCCTCGGCCTCAGCCTGCGTCAGCCTCAGCCTCAGCCTGCCTCAGCCTCAGCCTGCCTCGGCCTCAGCCTCAGCCTGCCTCGGCGTGCCTCGGCCTCAGCCTGCCTCGGCCTCAGCCTGCCTCGGCCTCAGCCTGCCTCAGCTCGGGCATTCAACATATGGCACAAGACTAATGTTCTGGGAACACGAAGATCACGAAGTGGCCCACAGATGGCTCGGGGCAATCAACATGTAATACAGGAATGGTGTTCTGGGAGCACGAAGAACACGAAGTGGCCTACAATTGGCTCCGGGCATTCAAAATGTGGCCTGGGAATGGTGTTCTGGTAAGACGAAGAACTCGAAGTGGCCTACAGTTGGCTCCGGGCATTCAAAATGTGGCCTGGGAATAGTGTTCTGGGAAGACGAAGAACACGAAGTGGCCTACAGTTGGCTCCGGGGATTCAAAATGTGGCCTGGGAATGGTGTTCTGGTAAGACGAAGAACACGAAGTGGCCTACAGTTGGCTCTGGGCATTCAAAATGTGGCCTGGGAATGGTGTTCTGGGAATGGATTCCTAAGGATTCCTAAAGATTCCTGGGGCTGACTCTTTTGTCCAGATCTGTCCGGATCCCGCCCAGACCCCCCTGGGGCGTCAAGATGCTGTCTTTTGACCCCACTAGAAACCTATCAGTCTTCACTGTTAGGTAATTTGCCGCATTTCTGAAATTCGGTGGCGCCCCTCGCGCAGATCGGCGGGGCCAGGGCCCAAAAATGCACGGGATTTGCTACATTTGCAAATTTACTGGCACCCTTCACGCAGATCGGCGGGGCGGGGCTCCAAAAACACAAAGGATTTGCCACGTGTCTGACATTCGGTGGCACCCCTCGCGCAGATCGGCGGGGCCAGGGCCCAAACACACAAGGGATTTGCCACGTGTCTGAAATTCGGTGGCACCCCTCGCGCAGATCGGCGGGGCCAGGGTCCAAAAAATACAAGGCACATCTTTAGAATTTGCTGACGCCCCTATCGCAGATAAGCGGGGCCAGGGTCCAACAACTATGGATTTGTAACATTTCTAAAATTCGGCGGCACCCCTCGCGCAGATCGGCAGGGCCAGGGTCCAAAAACATATGGGTTTTGCCACATTTCTAAAATTCGGCGGCACCCCTCGCGCAGATCGGCAGGGTCAAGGTCCAAAAACACAAGGGATTTGCAACATGTCTGAAAGTCGGCGGCACCCCTCATGCAGATCCGTAGGGTCAGGGCCCAAAAACACATGGGATTTGCCACTTGTCTGAAATGCAGTGGCACCCGTGACGCAAATCCGTAGGGTCAGGGTCGAACAACAAACAGGTCCCGACCCTGCTTCACGGCGGCGCCCATACCTCATGATTTTAACTTTTGCATCTCCCATTATCCGAGGCAGGGAGCCGACGGCATGGGGCGAAGCCCTTACGGATAACGTCAATACAGCTGGACTCGATTGGACAGGACACGCGAGAGGACACAAGATCCTTCCGAGGGCCACGTTGCCGCAGGAATACAGGAAGCATGGGTCGCGAGACACAGGACGCAAGGGCACCATTGATTTGGCAGGGTCGACCTACTAATCTGAGCCGACTGTAACGTCAGTGAACAGTGACTGGTCTTTCTCGTACAAGATAAAGCGAGGGCCTTCTTGATCGACGCGCGGGCGATGGGATGGCCCGTGGACCGGCGGTCTCTGACAGGACGCGCGCGCTTCCAAATGTAGCTGCTAATTCTTCCACTCGAACCACACCCGCCCAGCGCGGCCAAAATGCCGACAGCGTTCAGCAGCGGGCACCTGGTGGTGAGCCAGTGCGGGTCGTCGTGCAACTTTGGACGCCCGAGTTATCCGGGGTAACTCGGGTCCGGGGTAACTCGGGTTTGGGTTCCCGAAAAACGAACCCGAGTTAGCCCTGACCCGAGTTACCCCTGATGATTCGGGGCCCTGGACGCCCGAAATATCCGGGGTAACTCGGGTCCGGGATAACTCGGGTTTGGATTCCCGAAAAACAAACCCGAGTTAGCCCTGACCCGAGTTACCCCTGATGATTCGGGGCTCTGACAACTGGTGTCCTGGAGGCGTCCGTCGCGCAGACGCGACCACGCCGCGAACTGCGCGGGCGCCGCCCCCGCCCCCGCCGCGGCATCCCGACGCCCCCGAGGGGGAGCCTTGCAGCGCGGCGCGCGCTGGCTCCCAGACGCCGGCGCGCGCCGGGCCAACGCGGAGGGGGAGGAGGAGGAGGAGGGGGAGGAGGGAGGAGAGGAGGAGGAGGAGGAGGAGGAGGAGGAGAGGAGGAGGAGGAGAAGGAGAGGAGGAGGAGGGGGGGGGCAGGGGCCGAGGTGGACGTGGTCGACGCGGCCCCTCCAGAGCAGCGCAGGCGCCGCTGCCGCCCCCGCCGCGGCCCCCCCGACCCCCGCCCTTCCCGCGGATGAGCCCTGCTGCATGGCGCGGGCTGGTCGCCAGACGCCGGCGCGCACCAGGCTGCCCGGTGGAGGAGGGGCAGGGAGGGCAGCGGGCGAAGATGCCGCAGCAGGCGCGGTCGCACTCTGAGCTGCGAATGCGCCGCGGCCGCGCCCGTGGCGGCCCCCCGACCGCCCTCTCCCAGGTTGGCCCACGCTGCGCGGCGCGCGCTGGCACCCAGACGGCGGCGCGCACCAGGTCGCTCAGAGGGGAGGGGCCAGGGGGGGGGGAGTGGACGAGGTTGAACTAGTAGATGTTGTCGCGCTCGCAGATGCAGACCAACGGTGCTTCCAAATGTCCGAGCGGCGGAAGGAGTTCGCGCCGCTGGCGCAGTCAACTTCAGCCGCTGCGACCGCGGCCACCTCGAACACGTTCGGCGCAATGGGGCTGAACTCGCCGAAGGGGCCCTGGAAACCCACGGCTAGCTTCCGACGTCGCTTTTTTCCATGGCATCTCTCTATTGCGGATGCTCGACGCACTGCTGGGATCGGCATCTCCCATCGGCTTCGGAGGGCAGGGTGGCTCGCGAGGCAGAGCGAGACCACGGTGCCACCGTGGCGCAGCAGCCCCTGCAGCAATTTCGAATCCACAACGCGCCCCCGCCCCCAAAAAGAACGCCACGCCGCTGACGCATGGGCGCCGTCACTTCGAAGTCGCCTTGAAGACCGCGAAGTCGAGGGTAGATCCTGAGCCCTTGTCATAGGTAGCAGAGCCAGGGCCCGCAATGACCGCGCCGCTCCGTTCCTCGGGGCATTCCGACGCAGCCAGCTGTCGCGGAGACACGTTCAAATCGCCGACCACGAGCCGCGGGTCGGCAATCACGTTCAAAAGTGCAGTGAAGGCAACGAGCCGCTCGCGCACAGGTTCCGCGACGCTGTCTCGGGGGTCGACAAAGAAGGCGACGGCGACAAGGTTGCCCGACGCGCGGTGCCATGTGAGAGGGGCTAAGCCATAGCAAGGATTCACTCCAGATTTCTCGATGCTATGTCGCCGCAGGCGGTCAATTGTGGAAGATGCAGGACTCCTTCTCGCCGAAACCATCTCGCCTCCAGCAGGGCCCCCTAACTTGCGCCCTGTGGGGAGCGCGTCGCACCGCGAGGACCTCAATCATCCTTAGACATAACGAGGAAGGTCTCAGACGCCTTCGCATTAGGAGCGCGCGTCTCCGCCACGGCCGCCACTTGGCATTTCTTGCCGCCAGCAGCTAACCAACGCTCGGCCCGTGGGCCACAGTCGGTCACATAGGTGCACGCGAGGGCGCAGTCAGGCTCTGCTGCGCCCAGGCCTTCGGCAGCATCGAGCTCGTCGCGCGGCCCCGCGCGGGTCGCGCCGCGGGTGGCGCCAGCGCTAGGAGCGCCCTGCAGCAATAAGACCAGCTGCAGGAGCAGCGCCACCGGCATTGGCAAGCGGGGCTTGTGGCTGGGCCTTTGCCACGCCTCCAGCAGCAACCGCGGCGAAGGTGCGCGGCCGGGCCCGCGCCTGGCGGGCGGCGGCGGCGGCCTCGAGAGCGCCTGGGCCAGGAGCTGCTTGATCCGCTCGGGGTCGACGGGCGGGGCGACTCCGCTCGTGGAGGCACCCGCCGCGGCGCCGGGGGTGCCCTGCGACTCAGGAGGAGCACCCTGCATGGTTGCAACGGGCTCCCCGTCGGCACCACGGCGCCGCTAGGCGATGCGCTCGGTGTTGAAGGCCTCGATGTCGTCCGTGAAAGCCTGCAGCTTCTTGACCGAAGTCTCGAGCGCAGGGTGCGCCTGCTCGAACTCTGCGCGGTACTGCGCGAATGTCTTCTTCTCGGTCTCGCCCATGTCCGGGGTCCGCGGTCTCGAAGATGTCGTTGCCAATGATGAGATTGTTGCTGCTATGGCCCTTCGGCTTGGCAGTCTCCAAGATGCCCTGCTGCTCCGTGTGTAAGGTGGCCAGCGAAGCTTTGTAGGCGGTCTCCGCCTGAGCGTGAAGGGTGATTTGCTCGCCGCGATCTGCGCGGCAGCGCAGGACAGCAGCCGCCGTGCGCTGTGAGGACTTCGTTGCAGCCCCATACGCCTGCTCGGCGGCCTGAGCAGCCTGCCAGGCGTCCTTCGGCATGGGCGTGGACTTCTTGGGGGCCTGCCATGAAGCCCGAATGGCTGAGCGATATCAGCGGGGAGCCCGGGTGACTGGAGGAGTGCGCACATCTGCGTGTCGCTGGAAACGTTGCTCGCACCGCTTGACCCCGCCTGCTGGAACAAGGTTCCCTTGTACCCGTGCTTTGCCCCTGCCCTTCCCCTTGCGCTGCCACGGCGCCGGGTTCCAGACGCCGACTGGCGAACCACAATCGCAATATCCTCCGCTGGCGATGGTCTTGCGATTGCGCACCCATGTCTGATATTCTTCGCAGCAGAACCAAGGTTTCCCATATTCCGGCAAAGCTCGGGAAGGATATGCCCCCCGAGTGAACGAGTGCAAGAAGGCAGCTTGGGTAGACCAGTGTCTGCAAAAAAATATGGACGCCAGGCTGGAACCAGCCTTGCCAGCAGCGGACTATCTGTATCCACGTGATCCCCTGTGGAACAACGCATCTTGAGCCAAAATGGTTACGGACAACTGACACAGGGAACACCACCGCCACGAAGCAACGTGACTGCTACGTCCTGACGATCCAAAACAGTGTCAAAACACATCTCCTGGGGGTACACCGCGAATCAACGCTAGTGTTGCGCCCTGACTGCCCAGACCGTGCCGAAACACAACTCCTGGGACTTTAGCCATCTCAGCCCTGGAGACGGCTTCAAACTTGGAGACTGATGTGCGGGGTGTTACGGCGACAGCCGCATTTTGAAAACCACCTGCCCTCCACCCTTGAAACTGTTGCAGATGTTTACAATGAGCGGGTGTGGCGCGACAGAGGGAGTCAAAATTTCAAAAGTGACCGCGCTTCTTCGTTGCAACTGTTGCAACAAAAACGACAATACGCGCGGCGCTGCGGCGAGAGCCAAATTTTGAAAACCACCCGTCCTCCATGGTTGAAACTTGAAACAGTACATGCTCACAAACAAGTGTGCTAGTCCGTAGAGCGAGGGCCACACTTTGAAAAGGACCCGCCCTCCATCGCTGAAACTGTTGCAGCTTTCCTGGCTCGGCATCAGAAGCGGCGAGGAGGTCCCAAGCGCAACGCCCAGCGCGGGAAAGGAAAAGGGATGGAGGAGGAGGCGTTCGAAGGCGGTCTTAACTTGGACCACAAGTCCCTCCTCTCCACCCGTCTCTCCAAAGTATCGGGTTGAGCAGCCAGTGCACCTCTTGAGGAGGTCTTGCACAATGCCCGTCTGCTGGGATGACGCGTGCTTGTAAACGAAAGTCGCATGTGCCTGAAACCCGAAGCGCTCGCCTTGGGCTGCCCTGAACGAGAACGTCAGGGCAGGTCAGGTCAGGCAGTCCTCGAAAGATGGAGCATATATCGGGTCGGGCGAAAGGGGGGGATAGCAAAGGGGGGGATTGAGAATCAGCTCACGTAGCTGATTTCCCGGCGCCTCCCGGCGCCGGAGGCGGCTATGTATCGAGGAATGGGCCCCTCGGTCCGAAACCAGCTGCATGCAGCAAATTTCGTAACCCCCCCTTTCCCAATCCCCCCCTTTCGCCCGACCCGAATATAGCCCGAGCCCCAGGACGAGCGCGAGGGGCGCGGGGCTGATCGCCGCCGTCCAAAGTCGGACGGCGGGCGGCGGGGACGGGCGGCGGGCCCGCCTCGAGCCTCGAGAGAGGCCACGCAGCCGTCCAGCACGCCGAAGAACAACGGCCCGGCCCCGTGGAGGAGGAGGAGCAGGAGGAGGAGGAGGAAAAAGAGGAGGAGGAGGAGGAAGAGGAGGAGGAGGAGGAGGAGGAGGAGGAGGAAACAGAGGAGGAGGAGGAGGAGGAGGAGGAGGAAAAAGAGGAGGAGGAGGAGGAGGAAGAGGAGGAAGAGGAGGATGAGGCCCAGCCGAGCGACGAGGCAAGAGGACCCCTGGAATCTTCAGCCGGGCACTCTGGGACCCCCACCTTCGCCCTGGTCGGTGCGCGAAGTGCGATCCTCTTCGCGCCCCAGCACCGCCCCCGTGGGGGAGAACAGCAATGGGAACCGCTCCCGGGGCCACCCCAGGCCCCTGCTGAGGAGGGGCCCATCGATGAGGCAAGCTATGGGGGCTGCGTCCAGCCGTGGCGACGGGAGCCTACGGAGACGCCTGCCAAAACCTTCGAGGACGACGGCGCGCAAAGGGTAGGGCGACTCCAGAAACGAGGAGCAACGTCAGGGGGGACCCGCTCAGGAGGGGGCGGGAACGTCGGCCTGGGATCGGCGATACATCACCGATAGATCGGCGACAAGCCCCAAATAGCAAATCCGCATGTTCCCGGCTGGGGGGGGGCTATCGGAACCCGATCGGCGATCCATGGGCGATTGGGGTTCGGTGGCTCCTCCTCCTCCTCCTCTCTCCTCCTCCTCTTTGTCCTCCTCCTCCTCCTCCACGGGCTGGGCCGTTGTTCTTCAGCGTGCTGGACAGCTGCGTGGCCTCTCTCGAGGCTTGAAGCGGGCCCGCCGCCCGTCCCCGCCGCCCAGAAATGCGGACGCCTCGCGCGTACTCTGGCGCCGACTTCCGCCGACACCCCGCCGCCGCGCTGCTCCCGCCGGCCTCCCCCCGGCGAGAGACGCGCAGAAGGCGAGGGCCTCTCTGGAATGCGCTGGCGCTGGCGGGGAGGCGGAATCGGATCGCCGCATCCGGCTCTGGCCTTCAGTCGGGCGTGTGCCTCTACAGGAGGAATACATATTCAACAATAGTCAAACATAGTATGGGGACGGTTTGGGATAATTATTTCTCAAACAATTTTTGAATTTGTTTGTAGTATTTGATTGTTCGTCAAAAGTCCAACTGTAGGGGGACATGCCCGACCTAACTCTGGCTGGCTCGGTGCTGGCGAACCGAAACGAGGCGAATCCGACCGACATCGCGGCCCCAGCTGGCGAAGCGAACCAGAACCGAATCGGATCGTGGGCGGCCTCTGCCCAGGCGGCGCGGCGAGGCGTGGCTCCCTGGCTTCCGGGCCACAGCTTCCGGCGGCCGCTCGGGACGATCCTGGCTCCCACGGAGCGCTCTCGGCGAGGCGCAGCTGCTGGAGAGCACCCCGACGCTGGAAATTCGCCGAGACCCCACGAGAACGTCCTCGAGCCTCGAGCCTCGAATCGAACCCGATCTTGGGCGGCGGACCGTGGGAGGCCGCCGGGCCCGTGCCGCGCCGGAGGAGGAGGAGGCGGAGGAGGAGGAGGAGGAGGAGGAGGAGGAGGAGGAGGAGGAGGAGGAGGAGGAGGAGGAGGAGGAGGAGGGAGGGAGGGAGGGAGGGAGGGAGGGAGGAGGGCGGGAGGGAGGGAGGAGGGAGGAGGGGGAGGAGGCTCGAGGAGGATGCTCGAGGAGGAGGAGGAGGAGGAGGAGGAGGAGGAGGAGGAGGAGGAGGAGGGGGAGGAGGAGGAGGTAGAGGAAGAGGAGCTTCTGCCGCGGCCCCCCGCCTGACGGGGTTGTAGGGCGCGTGCTGCTCTGGCGGCCCAGCGGCCGCTTCGAGGCGGCCGACGTCGGAGCCGGTGCGGAAGAGGCTATCTGGCGCGTCCGCCCAGGGGGCTGGCGTGCCCTCCTTCAGACGAACCCAGGACGAGGAGAAAATCGGGTGAGGATCAATCGAGGATCTCTGAGATCCGGCGGCTCTGGAGGATGTACCGGGCGTCACGGCCGTCTCAGAGCGCCCCGAAACGCTCTGAGAGCGTTCCGGAACGCTCTGTAACGGATCGATCCTCGTCCAGGGCTCGAGCAAAACAGTGCGTTTCGTTTTCGTTATGTGTTTTGTTCTAGCTCGTTCTGTCTTCGCTCTGCCGCTGCTGCGAAACGACATCAAAACGAAGACGGTCCACGAGATCGCCAAAATACCGTTCAGCTCGAGCCCTGTCCTCGTCCTGGCCCCGTCCGGCTCCTGCTGCTCCCAGCCGTCTGGCACCATCAGCGTCCGGAAGGCGGGGAAGGTGATGGTGTCCTCGGATCTCGAGGACGTACGATGGGAGCTCGACAACGAGAACCTTCCAAAAGAAACCCAACCCGGAGACCCCAGGACGTCCGTTGATTTTTGGTGTGGGAACGTCACGCTTCCCACTGCAAAACCATCGGAACCCAAGAAGACCAGGGCACCCTGGAGGCAAGAAGGGTGTTTCTTGGCATGGATTTCGATTTCACTGTGTACGGTCGGGAGCTTGTGCTTGGCGTGTCGCGGCGGCGGCCCCGACGATACGCAATACCCTACGAGCAGACAGCGTGTCACTCCGCTCCGAGGAGCGGGAGGCTGGGAAAAGCTCGGGACGCTGACGCCTGGGAAGTCGGGACGTGGCTGGCATGTCGCTTCGACGCGTGCCAGGCGAGAACTAGCGGAGCGACACTTTGAGCAACCGTTCCTGACCGTATGCCAGTGCTGATGTTTCAGTGTGCGTAGCCCAAAAACGAGATGCCCGGCTGTCTAAGCAGGAGAAAGCGGAGAGTATACAGTCGGGGCTGACTGACACACGAGAGGACACAAGAACCTTCCGAGGGCCAGATTCCCACAGGAATGAAGAAGGCGTGGGTCGCGAAATATAGGACACAAGGGTACCCTTGATTTGGCAAGGTGGACCTACAAATCAACCTCGACTGTATACGAACACAGCGCAGTGCCGCCAAGACTGCCGAGCGGAGATCATCGGGCGAGCTGAGACTGTGCAAAAAGCGGGCTGTGTGACATGCCTAATCTGCGCTGGCGGCCTCCTCGGAGGCGCTGGCCATCGGATCGAGGACACCCCCGCGTGCGGGAGAGGATACAATCAGGAAGGTCATGCCTGAGCTTGCTGGGCGTTACTTAATGGAGGGGGCGAAGAAACGACCACCGTCCGTGCCCCCTTTCGGCCCCCAGATAGCCACGCCTAAGACGCATTGAATGTGTGTATGTGTGTGTGTGTGTGTTCCTTCCGCTTTACCCCCCCTTATCCCCCCCCCCACACTACGCAATGCCCGAGCTTTTCTTGTCCCGGTTCTCCAAGTCCTCGCCGCAAGCCTCGCGCACAACGCCGCCGTCGCAGAACGCCGGCAAGGCGAATACTGACCGCACGCTGCGCTCCGTGACGAGCCCCGAGTCCTCGGCAGAGAAAGGGGTGGGGAGGGGCCACAGTCGAGATTCCCCTCAACCTCGTCCTCCTCCTCCTCCTCCTCCTTCTTCTCGTTCACCTCCTCTTCTTCCACCTCCTCCTTTTCCTCCTCCTCCTCCTCTACCTCGACCCTCCTCGATCCTCTTTCTCCTTCACCTCTTCCTCCTTGATCCTCCTCGTCCACCTCCTCTTCCTCCTCCTCCTCCTCCGCCTCCTCCTCCTCCTCCTCCTCTCCTCCTCCTCTCCTCCCTCCCTCTCCCTCTCCTCCTTCCTTCCCTCCCTCCCTCCTGACCCTCCCAAAACATGGAGCCAGTGCCGCCTGCTCTGTCCACACGGCGCTCGCCGACTTTCCATGGAGGAAGCGGGGCCCGTCGCGAATCCACGCGCCTCGGTGCATGTCTGCGTTTCCTCGACGCCTGCTCGGTCCTCCTCCTCCTCATCCTCCTCCTCCTCCCGAGGCGAATCCAGCGGTGGCGAGGAGGGCCTCCCGGGAGGCCCCCCGAAGAGGGAAACAAGGGAAGCGTATAGCGGTATGGCTTCCTCCCCTGATCCTCCTCGGTCCTCCTCAGCCCTCCCCCTGGCTGACGCAGGCCATCGCACGGCGTCCCCGCCGCCGCCGCGCGCGCGGGCGGCCGCTGCGCCCCTCGCCCCCCCCCCCCCCCAGTCGGGTCGGCCCGACTGGCACGCGTGCCTCACCGGGAGGCGGACTGCCCGCCGACCTCGTCCAGCCAGATCTAGTAAGGTTTTTTTTTTTAGGCAGCTTAGAGGACCGTTTCACGATGTTGGTTTCGCCAGTGAACCGAAAAAGCTCGACACTCAGCACTATTCGCAATCGCCTCGCTGTCACGCCCCAGAGCGTGATCCCAGATACGGGTAAAAAAGCCCGCCCCCCGACGGACTGAGATCTAGTAAGGATGCGCGGTAAGGATGCCAGGGCATTGGACGCCCATGCCGAGGCTCTTCGAGCGGGGCAGGCCATCGAAAGTGTTCGAGGATGGACCGAAGATGACCGAAGAGGCAAGGATGCAAGGGTACCCTTGGGAAGTCGATCATCCTGACGATCGGACTATCGGGGTCGACTGTACCTCGTCCGCCTCCTCCCCCGCCGCAGCGACCGTGCTCTTCCCCGTGGGCGGGGACTGGCCACGGGGGGAGCGTTCATCTAGAATCGGCGACACACCGCCCACAGATCGGCCATAGGCCCCCCGATGGGGAAACCGCACTTCCACGCAGGAGCGAACCAGAGCCCCGATCGGAGACGCATGGGCGACTGAGAGACACCCGCCCCCCCTCCTGGAATCGGGAGCGGCTAAGAGGGGGGGGGTCCAAGAGGGGGGGGTGCAAATCATGACCGGCGGCATGTGCGCGGCCCAGCGGGGGGGCAGGGACGTAATGAAATAAGAAGAGGCGCCATGAAATCTGGGGAAATATCATGGCCCACGCCATGATATCCACCCCCCCCTAGTCATCACCCCCCTCTTTTCCGCCCCCGATGGAATAACAAGCTGCATGCGTAAACATACACTTTCGGAGCTCCGCGCGGATTCCTCGGGCCCGCGCTGGGCCCCCTCCCTGACGCCTCGAGCGCGCCGAGAACGGCGCCGGAGGTTCTGCCGGGGGTGCCCAACGCCGACCGAAGAGATCCTCGCGGACCTCCGGAACTGTTTGTTTATGGAGTTGTTCCTCTTCGACCCCTCCTCTCCCCCCCCACCACTGACCTCGCCGTCGAGGAAGTGAAAGACCTTCCGCAGCATCATGTCGCTGCAGAACGCCCTGGAAGAGAGCCGACAAAACCACAGAAGGAGTTGTTTTCATTATTTCCAGGTGCTGGCCGTTACCCCGGAAGGAGGGAGGAGGAGGAGGAGCAAGAGGAGGAGGAGGAGGAGGAGGAGGAGGAGGGGGAGGAGGAGGAAGAAGATGAGGAGGAGGAGGCGGGGGAGGGAGGAGGGAGGAAGAGGAAGAGGAGGAGGAGGAGGGAGGAGGAGGAGGGGAGAAGGAGGAGAGGGAGGAGTAGGAGGAGAGGAGGAGGGGAGGAGGAAGAGGGAAGAGGAGGAGGAGGAGGAGGAGGGGGATGAGGAGGAGGAGGAGAAGGAGGAGGGAGGAGAAGATGGAGGGAGAGGAGGAGGAGGAGGAGGAGGAGGAGGAGGAGGAGATGGCGGGAGATGAGGATGAGGTGGAGGAGGAGAAGGAGGAGGAAGAGGAAGGGGTTGCCGCCCCAGGTAATGGTAGTAGCGCTTGGGCGGGGTGGGGAACGTCGAGGCGGGGGCGCGCGGCGATCGCCGCAGTGCGCGCGCGAGCACCATCATGTGAGGGTGGGGCCCACCCACCCCACCTCCCCGCCCCCTGACGCACGATCATCACCGTCACCTGGGGTTGTGCGGGGAAATAGAGGAAAAACAACAACATACATAAACATAAACTTTCGCCAGGGGCGGCGCCGGAAGCGCCGCCGGGGGGCCCAGGCGCGGATCCAAGAAATCCGCACGGAACTCCAAAACATTATGTTTATCTGATTTGCTCTTCTTCGAAGGAAGGGGGGTCTTGGCCCGGGTAACAACCGTTACGGGGCAGAGGCTAGATCAACAACCTCGAGCAGAGGCATTCGGACGCCCGCTGGCGGTCTCCCAGCCAGCGCCACGCCCCTCGGCGAGCGCCAGGGACCAGCGCCAGAGGAGAGAGACCTCCTGCGGCCGTCCGAACATGTGCGCTGACCTTTCGGGGCGGGTCCCCACCTCGGCTCTATTATGATCGAGGCGGCGACAAACTCCACGTAGTGGAGGCCGCCACTGCCTGCCAGGTCCGCGCTGGCGAACATGACGCCGAAGTCGCACGGCACCTCCACGTCGCACTCGCTCATCACCTGCCGTATGGCCGCCTCCTCCACCACGTCGCCGTCCCGGACGAGGAAGCGGAACAGCCAGTTGATCTCTGCGATGGGTGGAAGAAGGAACAACGACATAAACGTAAACTTTCGGAACTCTGGACGGACTCCTCGGATCGGCGCCGGGCACCTCGCTCTGGCGCGCGGAGCGCGCCAGGGGCGGCGCCAAGAGGCGCTGCCGAGGGGCCCATCGTCGATCCAAGAAATCGGCGTGGACCTCCGAAGGTCTATGTGTGATGCCGTTCTTTCTGCTTCGAGATGGTCGGGTCGTTGTTGGCGAGCAGGTGGGCGGTGATTAGCATCGCGAGCCGCTTCAGCCGAACCGCGCTGCTCAGCCCCCGCAGCGCGAGCACGAAGCGCCCCAGCGCCTTTGTTCTGTTATGTTTGTGGTTTGCGGATGCTCTCGAGCAACAACCCCTGAGGCCACGCTAACAGCGATGTTGGTGAACGGCGATGTTGGAACACTGGTTTTTGCGACGCCGACTGCGCGCAGAACAAATAGTAGGAAAACATGAACAAGCCTTTCCTACAATAGGGTTGGCCACGAACCACCCCCACCTACAATACCTAAACCTACAGCGCCGTTACCTATCGCCGTTAGCAAGTCTACGGACCCCCCCTGCATGTCGTCAACCCTGGAGGCGTTTGATCCCAACACGCCCCTGCATGCCAATACCCCCTGGCACGCAAGGAGAAACCCCATCCCCCCACCCCGCCACCCCCACGAACATGCCACGGCCAACCCCCTCAAACATTCCGAAGGGGCGGTCGTCAAAGGAGTCGGAGCCGTGTCTTTGTCAAGACCTGTCTCTGTTTTACGGCTGCGCCCCTGGGGAAACCAGAAGGTCCTGGCACCGCTACTCCCCCCGGACCTCTCCCAGGGTGCGTTCTGACCAGAATTTCGAAGCGAATCCAGCCGTGGCTACGAGGGCCCCCCAAGAGGCCCAAGAAGGGGAAACGAAGGAGGGGTAGAGCGGTATCGGTACCTGTTCCTCCTCTGTGAAGGGGCCCTGGGACACACAAATAAATAGACACAAGTGACAGGATCCCCGATATTTCCTCATACTTTCTGGGTTTTCGTCTCCCCCCACTTCACATCTTTTCCCATATTTTCTGGGGAGTCGACGATGAATTATTCCTGTGTGTTTTTTGTCCCTCCTGGCTCTGGGCACAGGCGCCTTCTGGGCGCTCCTGCTCTGCAGCCTGGCGTTCTGCTCGTCGCCGTAGGACCTCTTGATGAAGCGGTGCACCAGCGCCTCGCGGGCCGCCAGCCGCCGAGAGGTGGACAGCTGCAGCATGCCCTCCAGGATGCCCCGCGCCTCCTCCAGAGGAGGAGCAGGGCTCCAGCGACCGAGGACAACGACTCTTGAGGCGCGCTGGCGTCGAGAGCGAAAAACGAAGCGGAGCCGAATGTTTCAAACGAACGTTTAGAACGATGCACGTGCCAAACGAGAACGAGCCCGAAACGGAGCACAACGGAGCAACAAAGAAAACGGACTCGACAAACAAAGCAGGGGCCGAACCAAAGCTAAAGAGCCTTGTACCCGGTCACTTAAGCAACTCCACAAGCATACGCGGTCAGTTAATTGTTGCTTATCGGAGGTGGCGATCGGGGCGAATGGCCCAGAGGCGGGCATTACACACGTGTTCGCCAGGGAGCCTCGCCGCAGGGATGGATCATCGGCGCCCCTGGATACGTGCATTGCTTCCCCCTGGGCGTTCGCCGTCATCTTCGCCACCGAGCTTAGCGTGTCGCCACGGCGGCCCTCGCAACACACTGCGCCCTGAGAGCGGACAGCGGGCTCTGCTCCGCGGGGCGCGAGGCTTCGAATTGGCCCGGGACGTGGAAGCCTCGGGACCGGAAAGTTTGGAGGCGACGACACGGGCGAGCAGCCCAGGGGCGGGCATGGCACGTATCCTTCCGGGAGCCTCGCCGAAGACATGAGCCAGCGACACCATGTATTACCCCCCCTTGGCTGTTCGCCCCGATCGTCGCCTCCGAGAGAAGGATAGCGCGTCGCGCCGACGCGTGGTGGGCCAGAACCAGCGGAACGACACGCTGACCAAAAGCTCGCGCCCGTGAACTTTTAGAGGCCCGCGCGGACTTCTGGGATCGGCGCCGGGCCCCCCTCCCCTGGCGCGCGGAGCGCGCGGGGGGCGGCGCTGGGGGCGCCGCCAAGGGCGGCTGCGCCGAGCCAAGGAATCCGCGCGGAGCTCGAAAAGATGTGTGTTTCCTGCCGCGCTTTCGCCGTTGATCCTCCGACACCTGCAGCGCGCCAAGCCGCCGCGGCACGAACCCGGGGTCCGTCGCGCACACCTCGGGCACAAGAGCTGCAGACTTGCCCTCCCCCTCCTCCCCCTCCTCCCCCTCCCCCTCCCCCTCCCCCGGCGGTCCGCACGGATCTCTTGGAACGCCGCTGAGCGCCCCTCCCTGGCGAGCGGAACGCGTCGGAGGCGGCGCCAAAGACGCCTCAAGAGGGGTCCAACGCCGATCCGAGAAATCCGCGCAGACCTCCAGAAGTTGATGTTGATGTCATTGTTTGTTCCCCGAGTGAAGGACCTTCGAAGTTTGGCGTCGCGCACAAAGGGGTGGAGGGAGGGGGGAAGTTTCTTAGAAGGAGGCCTCTCCTTAGAAGGCGGCGGCGTCGTTGTCGTCGTCGTCGTCGCCGCCGCCGCCGCCTTTCGTTCCCCGAGCACCAGCCGCTCCAGCTCCTGCGCCGCCCAGGAGGGGCTCCCCCCGGTGCCGGGCGGCGCCGCCTCGGGGAAGAGCTCGGAGCCCTCGCGGCGCCAGCGCGGCCGAAGGGGGCGGGGTGCGGGGGAGGGCAGGGGGAGGGGGAGGGGCTGGCTGGCTGGGGTGGCCCATTGGGCGGCGTTCGCATCCTCGGGCACGGATGCTTCTAGTGGGCCTGACCGGGCAGGAGTAAGCCTCCCGCGACAGCGCATCCCCACACCGACCACTTCTGGTGCCCGGAAAGCCAGCGACGGAGGGGACAACGACCGTCAGGGGTGGGATGGGCCAGCAGAGAGTCCGCATCTCAACTGCTGGGGGCTTCGCCCTGTCCCCCAGCCCCCGCAATCAGAACAGCGCGCGCGAAGCACCACTTCAGACAGGCAGACAGGGAGATGGAACGAAGACCCTCCCTGGGAGACTGAAGGAACCTCCAGCCCAGCCCAACATGGCCGACGTCGCATCCCGTGGCCACACCGTCCCCGCTGGAGAACCGGCCATGTGGAGGGAGCGCGCCGCCGGAGAGGAGGGAGGGAGGGATGGAAGATATCGTCGCAGCCGTCGTCCAAGACACCCCCTGCCTCGTCTCGTCGAGGGGCGAACGGAAAGGGGGGGAGGGGGAGGAGGAGGAAGTCCCATGCGGCCCACCCCACCCCACCCCGACGCTCGCAACTCCCGCGCAGCGACCCCAAGAGCCCCCCGAGGCCCCGCCCACGCCCCTGACCGTGCGTCCGGGCACATCGACACGCACATCGACACGCACACGCCCCGCCTGCCCGCCCCCGGCGCCCTCCCCGGCGCGCGCCCGGCGAGTCTGGCGACAGGCGCTTGCAGCGCACCCATGGCGTGCCCGGCGGCCTGCCCCCGCCTCCCGGGCAGTCCTTCGCACCAGACGCGGGGGGCCATGCTTGGCACAGCAAGATCCCCCCGGGATGCCCCAGCAGGGCAGGCCCGCCCGGCGGCCACTGAGGCGGGCCCGGCGGCCACTGAGCCGATATCCCCCCCTGAGCCTACAGTCGGGCTGCCGAAGCAAGGAACGCGATCTGGAGGACAAGGCACCTTTGTGGCGCTGGAAGAGCCCGCGTGTTTTTTTGTTGTTGGCTCGCACATTCGGGCGCAGCGCGCAGCCGCGGGCGCCAGAAGAGCCCGGGTGCACAAGGAGACCCCCCCCTCGCCCTCCCCAGCTCCACCCCCTTCTTGAGCAGGGGCCGACCGTCCCCGCACGCCGGCAGGCCTACCACGACACGCTCTTAGAATGAAAAAAAGGTCTCGAGTAGGAGATCGGCTACTACCAAACAGATGAGGCTTGCTCGTAGACCTACGAGCACTCTGCGTGCTTATGTTGTAGTTTCGGCGGAAGTTGAAATTCAGGGGTACAGCAAGTCTACAGTCGAGCTCCTACTCGAATGCTCTAAGACCTGAGAACAACACCAATGTCTTACAGCATAGAGCAGACGTGTGAACACAAGACATGCTCGGCGAAAAACGTGCTGAGAACACCTCGCGAGAACCGCGAAAGGCTCTCTGGACCCTCTTTCGGTGGGCCTATAGTCGGCCACACGTAAGAGTGACCCTGGGCAAGAGTGACCTTTGGTGCGCGACTTAACGGGGGACGCGGGGCGGCCAAACCAGGGCGCGCAAGCCGCTGCTTACCGCCTCGCGATTGGCGATCGGGGGATCCCAGTGGGCCCGCACCAAAGGTCACTCCGGCGAAATGTCACTCTTGCGTGCGGCCGATACAGGCACACCAGGACGCCTCGCTACTGCTCGACGCTCTGCGCGGGCGGCGCGGTCCTCGAGCATGGCGAAGGAGAGAAGAGAGGAGAGGAGAGGAGAGAGCGGAGGAGAGAGGAGAGAGGAGAGAGGATGGGGGGGGGAAGGAGAGAGGAGAGCGCATGAGGGAGGGAGGAAGGCGAGGAAGAGGAGGAGGCGGATGAGGAGTGAGGAATGTTCTGTGAGGGGCGAGGGGGAGGGGAGAGGGCGGGGCGGGGGAAGGACGAGCAGTCCTCGAGCATGGCGAAGAGGATCACGCCCGCCCGCCAGATGTCCCGCTTCTCCAGATAGTCGCCCTGGTCCTCCGAGGCGCGCCGGCCCTCGCCCTCAAGGGGAGCAGCCAGAAACGCCGAGAGCGTAGACTGTCGCGTTGGGGCACTCCTCCTGCTCCTCCGCCCTCCCCCTTCCCACTCCTCCTCCTCCTCCTCCAACTCCTCCTCCTCCTCCTCCTCCTCCCTCCACCCCCTCCTCCTCC